CATTCAATTTCCACACGGTGGAGGGAGGCAGATTAGATGCTTTCTGAGGTCCTGTCCAGCAGGGACCTTCTACAGGTAGCAGCAATGTGTGGTAGATAAGAGTATGGATGCTGGAGCCAGTTGGAGCCAAAGCTGTGAGACTTTGGGTAAATTACTTAGGTCTCTGTGCCTCGATCTCCCCATCCATATAATGGGAGTGATGATAATAATAATAATGTATACCTCACAGCAATAAGGATTTAATGAGTTAATATAAGCAATGTGCTTAGAACGGGACCTGGCACATAGAAGGTGCTAGATGGGTGTTTGCAATATGTATTTTTATGAGCTGGTCAGAGGCACACTGATAGTTTTCAAATCCTTTTCAGTATGCTAATCCTGCCATTCTGACATATGTCTTTCTGTAGCTTTCTCTGAACATGAGGGGTCCCGATGAGTGTCCTCCACAATCCTATTGCTCTGGGTTGTCTGCTGAAGAAAGGTCGTTTGAAAGGGTTAAGGGTTCCCTGGGAGCCAGGGCATGGGTGTCTCTAGGAGCTGACATCCCTCCCCTCAGTGCTGAATATACACACTGCTCTTTCAAGATGAGGGGAAAACCTCTTCCAAGTAATTTCCACTCACTGCTACTTTCTTTTGGGAGTAGTAGCCCAAAGCTATAAAAGCAGGAGTAGCATTTATCAATTGATTGATTAGCCAATCAGTCAACAAGTATTTACATTGTGTTTCTTATGTATTTAGCATGGTGTTAACTGCCCCCTGGAGAAATAAAAGAAATAGAAGACAAGGTTCTGAACCTCAAGTTAGGGTCCTAAAATGACTAGTTGAGAAATAATTATAAAACAGCTACTAAATTTAGATGCAGAGAGCAAAGTCTTCCGAGAAGAATTTCTTTAGCTGAGAATGGTGTTCTGGAGGGTTTGGGCTCCAAGCTAGATCATAAATGGTCAATCAGTGTTCAAAATGAAATGCCTGGGACCAAGTAGGGCACTCCTGGCATAGTGTACAGAACACCAGTCTGACTAGAGGACAGAAGGTGTAGAGAACAGAGGGCATAATGTTGAACAGATACGGGGGGCCAGATTGTAAGAACCTTGGAAATCAGGCAGAGACACTGGGGCTTTCCAGGCAAGACTGAGCAGTGGTGAAAATACCAAGGTCAGACCCCCAGCCCATCATTTTCCTGGCCCCAGGAAGTGAGTGAGGTGGTCCATTCTAGCCCTCATATTTCTGACGTGGTAGACAATAAGAAGTTACTGAAATTCTCATGAAAGTGCCACAAGAAAAAGGAATTTGGGGGAGATTTTCCTGGTAATGTGCGAAGGATGAATAATGATATCAGGGAGACCAGCTGGTTATTGCCAAAGTCCCAGTATGCATATGTGAAGGCCTGGATAAGGCACATGGCTGAGGAAATGAAGTCAGAGGGATAAACTTGAGAAGCAGTAACAGTAGCATCTGGATAGCAACAGATAGAATGTGAGGCAGCCACAAGCCTAGAGCTCAAGACTTGACCATCTGGATGTAGGGATAAGAGGAAGAGTCAAGGATAATTTTAAGGTTTCCAGTAACCTATAAAACTCCAGCCTTTACACATTCCATTAAGGCCGCAGAATGTCATGGACAGAAATACTGGCTTGGTGATCCAGTTGACTTGGGATTGAGTTCGGCTCTACTTTTCCCTAACTGAATGACTATGGCAACTTTAGAAACTTCTGTGAACTTCAGTTTCCCTATATGTAAAATGAGGATAATAGTACCTATTTTTTAGTATTATTGTAAAGCTCGCAGGAGATGACTAACACACGTAAAGGGATCAGCACTTTGCCTGTGCACATAGTAAGTGCTCCACAGATGTGAGCTTTTATTGCTTATTAACTGAGCGGCTATTAACTGTTACATACTGTGATAGGTGTCAGGATTCAGAGAGGAAAGAGGCACGACCTCTGCCCTGATGACACCCACAGATAGATATCATCTCCTATGCGAGAAAAATTGTCCAACTTCCCCTTTCTCCAGTTTAATTAAAATGGCACCTCTTGGGGGCTTCCCTGGTGGCACAGTGGTTGAGAATCTGCCTGCTAATGCAGGGGACACGGGTTCGAGCCCTGGCCTGGGAGGATTCCACATGCCGCGGAGCAACTGGGCCTGTGAGCCACAACTACTGAGCCTGCGCGTCTGGAGCCTGTGCTCCGCAACAAGAGGCCGCGATAGTGAGAGGCCCGCGCACCGCGATGAAGAGTGGCCCCCACTCGCCGCAACCAGAGAAAGCCCTCGCGCAGAAACGAAGACCCAACACAGCAAAAATAAATTAATTAGTTAATAAACTCCTACCCCCAACATCTTCTTAAAAAAAAAAATGGCACCTCTTTTCACATGGGACAAGGAAGGGTTGTAGAGTTCTATAGAAAGTAGACCAGACAACCTGCAAACCTATTAACAACCTGGCTAGCATGTCATCAGCGTCATCCCCTCAAAGATTTTACTTCTCTCCTCTTAGCTCCTCCTCTTCATGACCTAACTAAAGCAATGACCTAAGAAAACGCAGACATTTGTCTATACCAAACAGGCCTTGAGTACGCCTCCAAAACAACTCTTTCCCTTTAAATATATGAGGGTAGCTTTAGGGTGCTTCTTATGTTTGCAACTTGTCCACACCAACTGATATGCACCTGAATTTGTTCTGTAACAGGAGGAAGAGTTAGAAGTTCTCAGGACACAATGGGATCACTTTGTTCTTCTCTGCCTTACACAGATCCACAGTGATCCCTTCACACCCCTTGGTGGTCACAGGATTCTAAGCCTGAGAAGGAGCGTAAAGGACACCTGGTCCCTATTGAAGCCATCTGTTCTTGGACTTGGAGCCTCTGAAGAAAGGTAGCTGGGCCATGAGAACCTCCCTAGGTCTCTTGGCCAGTCTACTTCCCCTAGGGAATCAGAGGAAGACTTCTTTTCTCCCTCCTTAAGAGAGTGTCCTGCCAGAAGAAACACTTTCTGGATCATTAGAGAAAGTTAGAGAGGTCATCTCTCTTGGCTTCATAAGGGTAGAGAAGCAGAAGAGAAACATGTCTTTTAAACTGTGCAACAGGTCGCTGCAAATGCAACATAAGCTACAGAGGAAAACTTTTGCAGCTGAAAGGAAGTTCTAAGGGACGAAAATTGTGCACAACTGGCTGATATCCTTCAAAGGTAGAAGGAATTTTTGCAGGACTATTTGTGCTGGGCCTGATACCTGGAGTTTTGTAGTCACTTATTCCCGTCTCCTGATGTTGTTCAAATGCAATTAGGCCAGTTCTGGGAACTAATGCCTTCTCTTGACACATTCTTGTTAACCGGCTCCATTTCAACACATGGCCTCTTTTGGACAGTACGTAGGTAGACCCTTGACATTTGTGAACACAGAGAGGTTCACAAATCCCTAAGCTCGTGAGTGTGGAAACGTTTGTACAAGCTCCTGGCTTTCTCCCAAACCACATGTTTCTTGTACAGTGCCTCACATCACAGGCTAAGCAACTTTTCAACTTGAACTGAAGTTCAATCTATCATGTTATGGTGGCTTCTCTTTTTCCCACACATAAATCAGTTTTGATTAAAGAAAAAAAGAAACAAATACGCTTTTTCAAAGTTCTTGAAAGGCCAGCAATGAATGAAGAGCTACAGCAACGTAAGGAACTGGGTGGTCAGTGGGCTCCCTACCAAAGGGAGTCTGCTTTGTAAACCAGCTCCAGATTCAAAACGGGGCTTCTACCTGCAACAGATGGCTGTGTGTTATGGGCCTTCATGGTTGTTCATGAACAGTCTAAATGGAGAGGTTAGGTCTGGGAGTGCCACAGGCTTCCTTCCTGTCAACACTTCATTCTTGGGCCTCCAGACCACAGGTTCCATGGCACAGGTGAGAGCTCCCTTCCCAGTGAGCCACTGGGAAGAGGCAGGCACAGCGGGAGAACAGTGGCAACGAAAGCAACTCTTTTCCTGGAGATTTGTATAATTCAAGCCCATCTTGTATACCCTCTACATGTGGGAAATAATAAAGGATGTTTATAATTATGACCCTAGGTCTTCTGAAGAAACAAGGAAAGATGGACCTCATATATGTATTGATGGTCAATCTTATCCTGCATACCAGTCAGACTTGAGGCAACGTCTAATGAAAGATACATATAAAACATGATCTTGAAAATAAGAATAGAAGATCAAAAACTCTGTAGAGGGAGGGGGAAATAAGCTCAACAAAAAACTACACAGATATAATTATTGTGATTAAGTACTGCATTTAGTTCAGAGTTGCCTGGAAACAAAGGCAAAAAGAAAAAAAATCAACAAATTATTCTTCAGGAGAGAGATGTCCTCTCTTGGTAATAAATCTTGAAATAAATTCACAATATAGGGCTTATGCAAAAGAAATTCAATGACACAGTGGACCATGCCCTAATGATTTTTACAAAATAAGCAAAAAAATTCACATATAACCATTTCCCACATTGTCCCTTAATGACAGCTTAAATCAAATCATTAAAAATACATAGTTGTAAATTTTACCTCAGGAAGAAAAGTAAAATACTAATTATCAAGTTAGCGGGGTGGAGATATAGGTGAAACAAAAATGGCAGAATGTTGATAATTGTTGAAACTGGGTTGAGGGTACATGGCGGTTCACTGCACTATTCTATTCAATTGTGAACATTTGAAAATTTCCACGAAACAAAACAAAACCATAGCTGAAAGTATTTGACAGCCAGGGGAGTTAAGCTAATGTGTTATCTAACAAGGACTATATTCTATTTGATAAAGTTTTAAGTTAAGCAGATATCATACTATACTCGATCTTTGAAAATTGATCAGCTGAGCTATGAAGCGCTTGACAATAGTCACAATCAGACCCAAAGCACTGTAGACATTTCTATATAAGTGTGCACATTCCCAGCTAATCATGGCGGCAGGTAATTGACCCACTTAAGACAACAAGCTACCAAGGAGCGGAGGGGAAAGCCAGATTCAGATACCTTCGCTGCAGTTTTTCAGGGCAAAGAAGTCCACTGCAGACAAGCTTCGGTTTCCACTCGAGATGTATTCCAGGGCCACTCGGAACGGGTTCTCTGGGCGCCCAATTCTTCCCTGAAGCACAGTCCAACTGGTTGCATTGGAAAGCAGAGGGGAAAAGCATAGAAAAACGGTGATGAGAAGCAGACCTAACCCGCAGAGAGGTCCTGCCCTTGCACTGGCCCACATTCTTCATGCCGCACCAAGAGGTGGAACCCTTTTTCCTCTTTCTGATTGTGCTGAGGCTAACCCTGTGTGCTTATGTAAATACTGCCTTAGGACAAATTCTTAGAACCTGGGTCAAAGCGTATGTACATTTAAAACTCTGAGGATGGTGACTCTGATGGCAACACACACACATTTGTTTCTTTCTTGTCCAGCTAACTCAGAGACCCAATTCTTAAACCCACTGTAGCCATTGGTGTTCCTTTTGTCATACTTTTTAGGCAACTGCAGACCTTTGGACTACTTCAGTAGCTAGTCTTACAGGAAAAGAATATATATGTCTGAGAAAATCTGCCAGCAGAGTGAAGGAATTGTCTTCAAAGCATTTATCAGTGTATTCATTATTATCTCTGGAAAGAATGCTTGGTTTTTGTAATTTTATCGGATCCCAAAGTCTCAGAACCCTCAGGTTTGCTATATAGCTACTTAAGGGAAGCTAGCAAGTGCTATTTATTTACTGAAGGAAAATTAAAGTGCACTGAAGCATGTGCTTTGGGGTAAAAGTTACCTAAGATTGACGTGGACTCCGCGAAAAGGTTCAAACAGAAGAAGACGGAAGCTGGTCAAACACTGAGCACTGCATCTATCTACAATCAAGGACACTGACACCGCTGGAGAACGGAGAATAAGCTAAATGAACATTTTTACACCTCACTCAGGCTATTAACCTCTTGGAGTAGCCTCCTGTCACTGATTGGAACATCAAATTTACTTTCCAAAATTGATTCAGGGTTTTTTTTTAATGTATATAGTTATTTTGACAATTTTGTGTGGAGAATGGAAATTACCTGGACTATTTTGTATTTTCTTTCCTCTTAAAGAGAAACAATTTTATTGAGGTGTAATTGATGTACAATAAATAAATCACATGTACAAAAGTGTACAATTTGATGAATTTTCACATTTGGATACACCCATGAACTCATCACAATGTTTCATAGTGTTTTGCCACTAGGTTGGGCTTAGGTATGGCAGTACAAGTACGAAGGAACTTAGGGAAAGACTAGCTTTCTGTTTGAAAAAATTTTAAAGCACCCTCCCAAACCCCAAATATAAAAAATATTAAAAATCCAGAAAAGTTGGTCAAGGAAAGTAAAAGTCACCCAGAAGGTCATCCAGAGACTACCATGGTGAACTCCTCTGTGAACAGCCTTTTAGCTACAGTTTTACACAGATAAGGTCATACACACATAAGCTTGCTGTGACTGCACTTTGCCACTCAGCAGTATGCCACAAGACAATAAATATAAATTACATGATCAGTTCAATGATTGCATTTTTAATGATTTGTGCATTGTTCCTGAGTTTTCCTCTCATGCTGAGGCTAACCCTGTGTGCTTATGTAAATACTAACTTAGAACAAATTCTTAGAACCTGGGTCAAAGTGTACGTACATTTAAAACTCTGAGGATATTGTCAGTCCTCCAACAGTGAATCAGAAGGCCCATTTCTCCATTTGCTTATTTGCTTGTTAACACTGGATCCCATCAAATCTTTTTTTTTTTTGGTCGCACTGCACAGCTTGCGGGATCTTAGTTCCCCCACCAGGGATTGAACTGGGCCCTCGGCAGTGAAAGCGCAGAGTCCTAGCCACTGGACAGCAAGGGAATTCCCAAGATCCCATTAAATCTTTTCCAACTGTTAACTTTTGGTAATGAAGGCGTCGCCTAAGGCAATCTATGGTCTTTCAGGTGGGTGTTCCTGGATGGGAGTTTTTGTCTCCGGTCCCTGCCATGTTGTTGGGCATGCAGTGCGCTCTGCTGAAGGCAGAAGGCATTTCTGTTCCCTTTCTGTGCTCTTCTGTAGTTAATTCAGATCACTGGAGCCAGTGCCTCAGCCATTTAATAAAAGTGTATTAAATGTATAGCTGATTCACTTTGTTATACAGCAGAAACTAACACGCCATTGTAAAGCAATTATACTCCAATAAAGATGTTAAAAAAAAAAGTGTATTAAGTTTCTCAACAATAGATGCTGTAGAAGGGATTATTGCTGTTGTAGTTTGTTCTCTGTTACTGTACCCAACAGGATTTCTATCCAAAATAAAACCAGTGCAATTGAATAAGGAAAAGGAGGCCTTCTGTTTAAATGTGTGACTGTCAAAGAAAAAAAATTTGAAAAGAAAATGTAAATGAGGGGTCCTTAAGGAAAAACACAGAGAGAGCAGAATTTTTCTTGTTTTTTTGAAAAATAAAGGACTCTTATTTTCGAGGAAATATGGCGATAAAAGGCATGACTATTCATATTCTTCTAAAATCGTAGCTCTCTGCTCTGAGGAATGATGGATTTTAATTCCAGGTACACAGTGGCCCTTGACAATGATTTCCATTTCTGTATTGGCACTAGCCCTCTGGAAAAATGTGTCAATTGTTTTAGGGATTAGTTTCTGAGTTACTGATGCAATAACTTTTGCCTGAAATTCTCTGGCCTCCCATAGTTTCCTGCTGCAACTTTAATAACTTTCAGAGTAGTTGCCAAACATGATTTTATAACCAGGGAAGTTGGGACTGAAAAAGGGCACGCTTAGACCTAGGCTCAGATTTGTGTAAGAGACAGCAAAAACCCTGTGAAAAAAAACCCAAGCTCTCTTTTCTCTCTGCCTCCATTTTCTTTGTTGACATCCCACTGGTCATGAAACTTGCTCATTAGGGTCCTGTTTTCCTCTTTGGCTGGTGGCAACTCTACTTCTGCTTGCAAAGGGGAAGGTTATGTTCTAACCTAAAGCCTCCTAGAGACAAAAGTGCAGCTGTACCCATGTGCTGGGGATTTGTGGCCATCTCAGCATTGGTGCTTTAGTCAATCAGTATGACAGTGAGGGGAGGCCATCTGGACTTTGGGAAGCCAAAGGCACAGTGTGGATGGCCTGTCACCATCCTTTATCTTCCAGTTGTCTCTCTAGAGCTCTCCACTTCCAGTTCTGGCTCTGCTCACCATTTGCCTGATGACTTTGAACAAGGTAGTTTACTCTGAATGCCTGAAATTTGGGCTGTTTTCTGATCAAATTGTATTCTCAACCAGAGAAAGTGTTTCCCCAATGTTTCATTATTTAAGGGGGAAAGAAAAGAATGTATTCCTAAGCCCATCTGAAAACCCCAATCAATTTCCCCAAATATCACTGAAGTGTCTTTTCCACCTATTTAAAAATCCACTAAGGAATTCTAAATAATATAGAGCATTTAAAACACAGCTATCTAAGTGTCTGATACTTAATGCACTCCTTAGTGTGTCTGCACAATGCTAGCATGTAAAGCAAACCTGATACAGCTATGACGGCTGCACACTTACTAAGGCCTGCAAACAACTCATGATTTCACTGGTGTGTGCAGGCAAATTCATTGTAGCAGACTGTCTATTTAGATAGTAAATTTGCGGTAAAAATTTCTGCAAATCATTATAGCAATTATTCATTTAAGTCATAAGTCAGAGTCAGATAGTAAGAAACCCTGTACTCTCTGAATGACTACCCGACTCTCACTACACCCAACTCCCCCAAAACACTGATTTTAAAAGAGAGCTCATGAATAATACTCTACTTAATATTAAGACTTCTGTTTCAATTCTACAGAATCAAACTATTTAAATAAGAAACCTAATGGACTCCACCCAGTTTCAAATTCCATCAAGCATCCATTCCAATTCTACTCACTTACAAAGCGTTCTGGGTGAAGAAATGAGCTTGGCACTCTGAGCGTCGCAAACAAAACAAGCCATGGTCCCAGCCCTAAAGGAAGACCTTTTCAATTTGGTGTGGCAGAAAGACATGAATAACCATAATATGAGGACATGTTTGATATAAGCCCTAGCATAGAAGGAGGAGACAATAATCATGGTTATAAAGATAAATTAATGTCTCATCAAGAAGATCACATTCCAAATGCTGGAGAGGGTGTGGAGAAAAGGGAACCCTCCTGCACTGCTGGTGGGAATGTGAACTGGTACAGCCACTATGGAGAACAGTACGGAGGTTCCTTAGAAAACTAAAAATAGAGCTACCATATGATCCAGCAATCCCACTACTGGGCATATACCCTGAGAAACCATAATTCAGAAAGAGTCATGTACCACAATGTTCATTGCAGCTCTATTTACAATAGCCCGGAGATGGAAACAACCTAAGTGTCCATCATCAGATGAATGGATAAAGAAGATGTGGCACATATATACAGTGGAATATTACTCAGCCATAAAAAGAAACGAAATTGAGCTATTTGTAATGAGGTGGATAGACCTAGAGTCTGTCATATAGAGTGAAGTAAGTCAGAAACAGAGAGACAAATACCGTATGCTAACACATATATATGGAATTTAAGAAAAAAAATGTCATGAAGAACCTAGGGGTAAAACAGGAATAAAGATACAGACTTACTAGAGAATGGACTTGAGGATATGGGGACAGGGAAGGGTAAGCTGTGACAAAGCGAAAGAGAGGCATGGACATATATACACTACCAAATGTAAGCTAAATAGCTAGTGGGAAGCAGCAGCATAGCACAGGGAGATCAGCTCAGTGCTTTGTGACCGCCTGGAATGGTGGGATAGGGAGGGTGGGAGGGAGGGAGACGCAAGCAGGAAGAGATATGGGAACCATATGTATATATTTTACTGATTCATTTTGTTGTGAACTAGAAACTAACACACCATTGTAAAGCAATTATACTCCAATAATAAAAAAAAAAGAAGATCGCATTCCAATATGGGTCTTGAGAGATACGTCAGACTTCTTCCAGTGAATACTGGAGGCATGATCAGAAAGAACTGAAGGTTGCCATTACGGATGGATAAAAAGAAAAAAAAAAACTTAAAGAAAGACAGGGTCAGAGAAGGATGAGTAGCTTGGCTGGAATAAAATGGATTTTCGGGGGACAC